CGCGCCCCCGGGCCCCGACACACATGAGATTCTTCAGGCTCACTTTCAAGTGCTTCGTGGACTGCTTCTGACTGCGCTGCCTGCGTCCTGCACCCCGCCCGCCCGCCGCCCCGTCCCCCGGCCCGGCCGCCCAAGGCCCCGGGCGGGCCTGCTCCTCCGGCCCTCCCCCCGGCGCCGCCGCGACCCCTGCCCGGCGCAGCGACCCCTGCCTGGCGCCGCGACCTTCTGCCCGGCCGCGCGGCCCGCCGGGGCCATGGCGAAGAAGAGCGCGGAGAACGGCATTTACAGCGTGTCCGGTGATGAGAAGAAGGGCCCGCTTATCGCTCCCGGGCCCGACGGGGCCCCGGCCAAGAGCGATGGCCCCACGAGTCTGGGGGCACCAGGCGGCCGCCTGGCCGTGCCGCCTCGCGAGACCTGGACGCGCCAGATGGACTTCATCATGTCGTGCGTGGGCTTCGCCGTGGGCCTGGGCAACGTGTGGCGCTTCCCCTACCTGTGCTACAAGAACGGCGGAGGTGAGCCCCCGCCCGGCCGTGGCCCGGCTCCGCCAGGGCTCCCCTCCCCCGCCGCGGCCCACCAGCCAGGGGCGAAGTCCAGGACTGGACAGGCACCCCCAGGGCCGCGGGGGTCGGTGGCACAGCCCACCACCGCCACCCCCTCGCCAGTCATGTGCCTGGCAGCGTAGGGAGGGGGGGACCGGGGGGGGGGGAGGGAGTCAGCAAACCTCCCGCCCAAGCCAGAGGCTATCCCCCACACTCAGCACCCGGAAAAACAAGCCGCCGAGGTGGGAAGGGGAGGCGTGATCCCTGGGGAACTCCAAGAGGTAAGGAGCCCTGGCTGCCCTGCAGGTCAGGCGCACAAGTAGCACATTGTGTGGGCCCCCCACGTGTGCACACACGAACACACACACACACAATGGGCCACTCTGTCCCTCCCCTCACTCCCCTCCCCTCTACCCTGGGCCTGGAACACTGGGTGTCTGAGCCAGGCTTGGGAAGCTTGCGGCCTGGCCGCCCTGGCGCCACCACTGGACACCCTGCGTGTACACCCCATGCCCACCCGCCTGCCAGAGCCCAGCTTAGCAACAGTGACAGGCACGCGTGTGTCCTGTGACTGCAAAGCAGCACCTGGCTTTCTGAGAAGCCAAAGTAGCTGGGTGATGGGGGGGAAACTGAGGCCTACAGTGGAGGCCTTTGCCCAAGGTCACACACAAGAAGGATGCTGGGACAGGAGCCGGGCACACTGCAGCCAAGCTCAGCCTCCTAGTAGTGGAGAGTGCTGAGCCAGGGGCAAGGACTGGGGGTCTAAAAAGGAGGAGGGGACAGTGGAAAGAGCTGCTAGTGCCCAGCTCTACCCTCTCTCCCACCACTCCCCAGCCTGCTGGCCAAAGCCTGCCTCCCCCAGCCTTGCTCAACCTGTCTCCCTATCTCCTTCTGTCCTTGCACACTGACACCCTGCCGGCAGAGGACTGCTACCCACCCACCCACTCTCCTCCTTGGACCTTTACACTGGCAGGCAGGCGTCTAGACGCCTCCAACAGGGCAGGGCACCCAGCATGTGCCTCCACTCTTTCTGTACTGCCTGCAGATGTGGAGCCACAGCACAGGGACAGCCTACATGCATGAGCGCCTGTCCTCTGTGCCCATTACATCACACCAGGGGGCAGTGGGGATGGAAGCCCTGTTGGTCTAGGCCCTCTCCACAGCCCAGGGATAGGGCTCTAATGGCTATGTGGCTGCCACAGCCCCATCCACAGACTCAGAACCCACACACACAACTTCACTTTGGCCTCTGAGTCAGCGGCCACCCCTACACTGATTCATCTGGTAGGAAGTTAGAACGGGCCAGGACTCAGCCAGGGCCTCCTAGGACTTCTGGAGTCTGAGCCAAGCAGCTGGGCCTGGGCCACCTGGCTGAAAGATTTGGGTCAAGTCTCCACCTGGTTAAGGGGCCACCCTGCACAAGTGCCTGTGGTCTTCATGGGAAGTCTACCCAGAGCTCACCCTGTGCCCTCTCCCCAGGTGTGTTCCTTATTCCCTACGTCCTGATCGCCCTGGTCGGAGGAATCCCCATTTTCTTCTTGGAGATCTCACTGGGGCAGTTCATGAAGGCCGGCAGCATCAATGTTTGGAACATCTGTCCCCTATTCAAAGGTGAGCAGCCTCTCTCCCCTCCTCCCCAGAGACCCTCCCCTTTCTTACTGCTAGAGCAAGGGCTTGGGAGCAGAGCACAGCTGGCACCCACTTGAGAAGTCTTTTCCTGTCCTGAGCCCCAGAGACCATGTGATAGCTCCTAGTTGTGAGGGGAACCTAGAGACCATGTGGACCACACTGTGAAGTTGAGGAGTCAGGGACTAGAAGTGGGGATGGAGCCTTTCCTCAAGGACAAGGACAAACCAGGCATAGCCAGAGGGGGGACACAGAATCATCACCAAGAAAATGAAGTGACTTGCCAAGGTTGGCCACTGAGGGGGGTGACTGTCTCTAACACAGCCTCAGGTTACAAGAAAGTGCCCCCTGCCACTGTACTGGAGGCCACTGAGGACCAGACAGAGGCTTGGACCTCCTAGAACCGTTTGGGTGGCAGCAGGACAGAGAAGGGACCAGGTCTGTGAGGAGACCAGATGGGATCTGGGGTAGGATGGAGCAGATGAGTATGGTGGCCGGGGCAGGACAAAGATGGGGATTAACCAGTGTTGGACACACAAAAGGGGAGCATAGGGCTTGAGAAGTCCATGGTAGGATGGCTAGGGGAAGGGTGTTACAGGCACATCAGGAGCCACTGTGAGCCCTGGTAAGGGAGATGAGGGGGTAATGGGAAGGTGGACAGAAAAGAATCCAGATGGGCTCGGCACCTGTGGCTCAAGCGGCTAAGGCGCCAGCCACATACACCTAAGGTGGCGGGTTCGAATCCCCAGCCCGGGCCCGCCAAACAACAATGATGGCTGCAACCAAAAATGGCCAGGCACTGTGGCGGGCGCCTGTAGTCCCAGCTACTTGGGAGGCTGAGGCAGGAGACTCACTCGAGCCCAGGAGTTGGAGGTTGCTGTGAGCGTGATGCCATGGCACTCTACCCAGGGGGATAGCTTGAGGCTCCGTCTCAAAAAAAAAAAAAAAAGAAAAGAAAAGAATCCAGATGGAAAGGAAGCCCTTGTCCCCAGGCCTGGGCTATGCCTCCATGGTGATCGTCTTCTACTGCAACACCTACTACATCATGGTGCTGGCCTGGGGCTTCTATTACCTGGTAAAGTCCTTCACCACCACGCTGCCCTGGGCCACATGTGGCCACACCTGGAACACTCCTGACTGTGTGGAGATCTTCCGCCATGAAGACTGTGCCAATGCCAGCCTGGCTAACCTCACATGTGACCAGCTTGCTGACCGTCGATCCCCTGTCATCGAATTCTGGGAGTGAGTCAAGCACCTCTGACCTAAGCCTATCCTATCTGTCTCCCAGGCCCACACAAGGCCCGGGGTGCAGAGCAGTCACTCCCAGACCCTGCCTATCCTCAGCAGTGCCCAGGCCAGTCTCTGGGCAACACGTGTCACTGCCCTTCTCTTGTGCCAGCCTGGCTGGGTGGGAGTGGGGGCCTTGGGGCCCAGTGCCCAGCTGCCAGCCCCACCGCCTCCCACCGGCCAGGGACTCCCAGGCTGCAGGCACACTGTGGTACCACCAGGCCTGGCCCAGGTGGATCAGAGAGACCGGCTAGACCAAGGGACATAGGAGGGAGGAGCCATCACCCCTGGGGCGGATCCAAATAGCTCTGTCCCCTGCTGGCACAGCCCTCATGGCATCTCCCTCCCCTAGGAACAAAGTCTTGCGGCTGTCTGGGGGGCTGGAGGTGCCAGGGGCCCTCAACTGGGAGGTGACTCTGTGTCTGCTGGCCTGCTGGGTGCTGGTCTACTTCTGTGTCTGGAAAGGGGTCAAGTCCACAGGAAAGGTACAGCTGGAGGCATCAGGGTGGGGGCAGTGTTCTCCTGGGAGCTGTGTGTCTCTGCAACAGGAGGGGTAGGGCCTGAAGAGAGGGGAGATACCTAAATCCAGGCCACTCTCCCGCCGTACACTGGATGTTCCTCCCTACCCTCTAAATCCACAGACCAGCAGCCTTCCCTCCTAAGAGCAGTCCCACAACAGGCAGAAGCTGCCCCTTCCCAGTGTCCCATGCCCATCCCTGCCCTTCTGCCTTCCCCATTTTCTCTCTTGAGTCTCTTGACAGTCTGGGTGACTCTTGTCTATGGACATCTTTCTCACCTATCTCTTCCTGTGTGTCTGGCCTTGGGGACCCAGAGGGGAATCTGGGTTTTTTTTGTTTGTTTGTTTTAATTTTTTTTACACAGACTTTCACTCTGTCACTCTGAGTCGAGTACCATAGTGGCATCATAGCTCACAGCAACCTCAAACTCCTGGGTTTAAGCAATCCCCCTGCCTTAGCCTCTCAAGTAGCTGGGGCTGCAGGTGTTCACCACACACCACAATGCTGGGCTAGTGTTCTATTTTTAGTAGAGACAGGGTTGAACTCCTTAGCTCAAGTTGATACACCCACCTTGGCCTCCCAGAGTGCTGGGATTATAGGTGTGAGCCACCACACCCGGCCCACCAGAGGGGAATCTGGACACATCTCTCCCTTGGGGCCTGGCTGGAAGGTCAGGGAGACATACTATGGACAGACACGTAAGACAAGTGTATTGAGGGCTGGAGACATGGCTAGGTCCCTGGAGGGTAGGACTCCAGTGTGTTCCTCATTCCCAGCAGGGTCCTCACTTGCTGAGCTGGTGGCCCAGCGTGGACATTGAATAAGGAAGCAGGGGCCTTTGCATCTTTCTTGTGCCTCTCTTGGTCTGGCCTAGTTACAATCCCCATCTAGTGTCTATGGACCTCATCTATCTATAGATGACCTGGGCTAGGGGCCCAGAAAGCATGGGACCTGTTCTCAGTTTGATGTCCCACTCCCTGCCTGGGCCCTACCTCAAAAAACTCATGTACTGGCTCGGCGCCTGTGGCTCAAGTGGCTAAGGCGCCAGCCACATACACCTAAGGTGGCGGGTTCGAATCCCCAGCCCAGCTGCCAAACAA